TTGCATTTTCCTAAAAGTACTTCTCTATTTACTGAATGCTTTGAAATTATCCACTGTGACATATGGGGTCCTATTTCCTTACTATAGTTGATGACTACAACAAACATACATGGGCTTTCTTAATGCACAATAAAAGTCAAACTAGATATTTACTACAAAATTTCATTGTAAAGATTAAAAACCATTTTAATAAGAAAATTAAGATTGTTAAATTTGACATAGACTTGAGTTTAACTATGTTATTCTGTATAATTCTCATGGCATCAATCATCAAAGAAGTTGTGTGGAAACTCCTCAACAATGTGTTGTGGAGCGCAAGCATCAACACATACTAAACATAACTTGTAGCCTTATTTTTCAATCTAATGTTCCTAATGCTTATTGGTCTTATGTTGCGACTCTTGCAATATATTTCATAAATAGGGTACCTTCCCCAGTTCTAAATGGAAAACCCCCATGATGTAATGTATGACGCTCCTACAACTTATCTCACTTTAAAAATATTTAGGCGTTTATGCTTTGCTTATACTCTTGAGAACAACATAAGTAAACTTGACTCTAGAGCTATGAAGAGAATCTTTCTCGATTATAAAGATGGTGTCTAGAGTTATATTATTCTTGACATCAATACTAGGGAACTCTTCATAAGTACAAATGTTATATTCTATGAAAATATTTTTTCCTATAAAGACCAGCAAAACAACAGAGAAACCAACAATATGAAGAAGATAAAATTGCCATTCTTAATGACTTTTTATGCAGCTACAACTCTATGGATATTAAGAAACCAGTTGAAAAGGACGACAATGACCAAGGACATACTGAGTTAGTTGATACCTTGTCTCGAGATATAGATGTACTTTGCTGGATATTACACACATATATGAAAATCCTAAAACCTTCACATTTGACAATGACTTCGTTTCTCTTAGTTTCTTTTGGAATAAGCTATTAAAAGAATATGACACATTTCATCCAATTAAAAATTAATACAATTATTATTAAAATTAATTTCCCAATTAAAAATTAATACAAAGATGCAACACCACAACACTACCCAATTAAAAATTAAATGGAAAGGATTAACATTTGGTTAAAAGTTCAAATTGAGATGATGTTTTCGTTATCCTACTTTTAGAGGAGGATAATATTCTTATTAATGTGTTTAGTGAAGGAGATAAAACTAATGATGATCTTTTTTTTAGTTTTTGTTTTAATTTGAATAATTTATATCAGATGAATTAAGTTTAATGAAGTAATGAGAAAGTGATGAATTTTGTAAACGTAAGTTTGATTAAGTATTAATTTTATTTTCATGGAAGTGTGTTTAGTGATATATAGTATAAAAAGTAAAATCTATAATGCGTGTTATGATCCCATGATTTATGAATATACAAACCCTTCATGATTTTAAGTATAATTTCAATTTTAATTACCAACCACCACTCTACAATTACTAAATTATTTACAACATTCAACTAATATTCAAGTACTTGATTACCTTCTTTATAAGTAACCACACCTCTCTCATGTACGTCTCCATCCAACTCTTCCAAAATCTTGAACTCCCCGATTAGTTTACAGATGCAGCTAATTCTAAGAACAACTACATATTATTTTATTATATTATTTATGTAATTTTAAATGCTTCTAAAATTAGAATTATGTTTTTATACTTTTATTCTAGTGTCAAAATTTTTTATTTGTATTTTTCCTCACAAAGTATTTCTCTTTGAATATTTTGTACCATTTGATTAGATTTATTCTTATATTCTAGTTAGGAAAATCTAAACTATATTTACATTTATATTTTTTTTCTAAAAACGTATTAATAACAATATCATCAAATATTCTATCCTCACAATGATACTTGGGGTCATCCTTAAGTATTCAAAAAGTTTGAATTTCACGTATATAATCAATAAAATATAAAAAAAAAGACAGTGATGAAAATTATTTAAATAATTAAAGAATATTTTTAAAATAAAAATATGTCTCATTAATAAATATCTTTCATTATTGTTAGTTAGGAGTAATTTTAGAAGAATATATAAGTTTAAGACAAGCTCATTAATAAATTCTTTAAGAAAGACTGTAGTAATTAATTTCTGTAATTAATTAAGAGTATGTGAGGAGAATTTAATGCTTTTCCTTTTAACAGAAACATTGAAACCAGCAGATGAGTAAAGAAGTCGAAAAAAATAGGTTTAATCCTTTACTACATCCCTATTTATGTATGAATTTCTCAATTGGGTCCTCGTTTTTTAAAGTGTATCAAAATGGTCCCTAATTTTGAAAATTGAGAGCAATTGAGTCCTTTCCGTTAAGTTGGCTGGACGGCGTTAAAAAAATTGATGAGTGGATGCTGAGATGACGAACGAGCGCTCGTCCACCAGCGAACGAACGCTCGTCCATCAGCGAACGAACGCTCGTCGACCACCGAACGAACGGTCGTCCAGTGTGGAACGAACGGTTGTCCAGCAGTAAGAGGTCGACGAGCGTTCGTTCTCTGGTGGACGAGCGTTCGTTCGCTGCTGGACGAACGTTCGTTCGCTGGTGGACGAGCGCTCGTTCGTCATCTCAACATCCACTCATCAATTTTTTTAACGCCGTCCAGCCAACTTAACGGAAAGGACTCAATTGCTCTCAATTTTCAAAATTAGGGACCATTTTGATACACTTTAAAAAACGAGGACCCAATTGAGAAATTCATACATAAATAGGGATGTAGTAAAGGATTAAACCAAAAAAATAATGAAATTTGAAAAGTACTAAAGTAAGTGTTGAGAAACTTTTGTTGACTAATTGACGAACACGAAAGTAAAAAGAAAAAGAGAGATAAAACAAACCAAAGTGAGTCTCTGAAGTCTCAAAACACAAGCCACTCATTTAACAACACGTGCACAACTCACCCCCAAAAGCCAACATCAAAAACATAACTACATTGAACAAATCGTGGTCGGTTAACCGCAATGCTATGCCCTACCACGCAATAAAGATAAAACAAAGGTTATTCTTTCTTTCAACAAATTTATTCTTTATTTTTTTTAAATTACTTATTTCACTTTATATATTTGTTTTTACCGAATTTGGCCGAAGTATTATAAAATAAAATATGAGACTTTCAATAGTTAAATGGTTGTTTTTGAACAAAAGAATTTCCAGTTCTCAAGGGAAACAAATGAAAAATCTATTTATAGAAGATTATTTAATGTTAAAATCAGTAAAGATATTGTATAATAATATATGAATAATGAGAAGATTTTATATCATATCAATTTGGATATGAATAATATTTTTACAAATATCACTAACTGAGAATATTTTAGAGATTTCTTGCAAAATTAGAATATTTTAAACCTAATATCCAAAAATTTTATATTAATCAGGTGCATTTATTTGTTTTAAATTCGTAGACAAAGGAAATAAAAAAGGAAAAAAAATTCAAAATATATGAGACCATCCAGTATTATTTTTCATTTATAACTATTTTTCATTGTTAAATGTAATAACTAAATGAGTAATTTTTTTTTACTTGGAAAAAAACAAAATACTTTCATTGTAGAAGAATCTTGATGTGTGAGTCGTTGATGTTGGTGATCTATTTTGGAACATACACGTGGATGGTCTATGTTCCTTGTATGTGTGAGTACAAAATCATAAAAAGCTGGGTCACAGAAAACGACAACATAGACAGAACACCTTAAAGACACGAAAACAAAAGTTGAACCCTTGGTTATTCCTTGGTAAAGCAGTTAACTATGGTTAGGTAGTTTTGTTCCTTCAACCACTGGTTTCGTGTATAACTAAACATCTCAACCATATTAATAACTGTTATGATTGTAGTAATAATGAAGTAAATTTGTTTATAAATTTCAACTCTTTCTTAATCCTTTTCTGGAGGTGTAATAAAGTCATTGTTCATAGTTATATGTTTTTTTCTTTTCCAAAGTGTTAGATTATTTTTTAGTAAATACTCTCTTTTGTTCATTATATTTTATTATTTATTTACATACTTATTTTCTATCTAATTATTAATTACATATACGTCCCTCTTTTATTATAACAAATGAAAATTTCATAACTATATTTTTAAATGTAAATTATTATAAACCTTGACATATCACTAAAAAAAGAAACATTTATGAATTAAATATCCAATTTAAACAAGAAATATTCATCTTCAAAACTAGAGGTATTTTAACATTTTTATTTATTGCCTTTATATATATATATATATATATATATATATATATATATCATAATTTTCTCATAATTAATTGTTTTTTTTTCCAACTATATAATTTTTAATCACTTATGTATTTTAAGATACCTTTTTTTGGTTTTAACTATAAATCAAATTTCAATAATTTTAAAAATTAATAATACTTGAAAATAATATTATATAACAGTTAAATTTATTCATTTAAAATAAAAATAATTAACACATTTAAAAATTAGTTTTATATACTATATATATTTATAGAATTATGTATTTTGCCAGAATATTCTTTAATATATATATTTACTTATTTTATATTATTATTACATTCAACCGATTTTCAAGTAAAGCGTTTCAATAGAAAAGGAGATGTTTTTACTACTATTCATTTTTAAAATAATATATAGTCGAAATAGTTAAAAGATAAATTTATTTTACTAAATAAGTTATATTATATAGTAGTAGTAGTATTTTGTCAATCAATTGCTAATGGCAATTTATTAATTATTCAATCAATTAATTAAGTGGAACTTCCAATGTAAGTTACAGAAAATGGATTGGCATCTAAAAATGGGATAGGAAAGTAGTATTAAACTTGGTGCCCAATTAAGAACATAGAGTAGTACTTTTTGCTTTTTTTTGTATCTTAAATGTAAGAAGGGTGTGCTTTTGGGGTTACGTGGCACCAAAATGGTTAAACATTTGTCACAATCGAAGTGAAAGTAGCAATTTTGTGTGTGACACGGCACACAAAGTAACGCGCAAAGAGAGAGAAAGAGTGTGTGATATTACAGATATACACAGTACTGTCTTCTGCACTGCACAAGTTTCACACACATTTTTTCATTTTATTACTGCATTTGAACTTCTTCTCTCTGCACCATTATCTCCCTGAAGGTTCTAGACCATAAGAGAGAAAACTAAGGTGCCTTTCTTCTTCCATTGCTCATTTCTTCCTTCTCTTTACTATTTTTAATGTTTTAATTTTCTGGGTTCTTCATCAGTTGATCCCCCTTCTTATTGTTGTTCTTGGTTGCACTGGTTTGTTTGTTTTGCTTGAGGTTTAATGTTTGTCGTACCATGTGGGGTTCTTCTGTGTTTAATGTTTTAATGGTTTTTACTTTTTTTTTTCTATCACTCTCTTTCTGAGATGAATGCCAATAAGAAGGGTTTGGAGTCTCCCTAAAAAGTTTCCTTCTTTTGTATTTTCACCTTTTGCATTTGGGACTGAAGCATTGAAGTGAATGTTATTTTTATTTTCTGTGATTGCTAAACTTTGCCTTTGGGTTTCATCTATCAGACATGCAATCAAATTATAAATGTTTTCTAGTATGAAAATGGGTGTTAGGTTATATAGGTTAAAATCAAACTATCTCTGATTGTTGTGTGTTGATTTTTTTTTTCCAATCTGTGTTCTGCTATTTATGTGAACAAATCTGTATTGTTTTCAGTTGGTGTTTTGAGATAATGCTGAGGAAGAGAAACGGGTCAATCCTGAAAGATCAACACAAAGCTGGCAAGATGGTAATTTCTGAAGCCAATTTTGAATCATATTCTCAGTCTCATGCTTTGGGGAGCAATGTCAAAAGCAACTCAATTTTCAATGCCCCTCTTCTGTTTGTGGGAATGGGTCCTAAAGGCTTGTTGGATTCTGATTCAGTTAAGAGCCCCACTTCCCCACTAGATGTTTCATTCTTTTCAAATTTAAGTAATCCCTTCAGAACCCTAAGTTCATTGTCCAATGAGGGACAACAAAGGAGCTGGGACTGTGCCAAAGTAGGTCTAAGTATTATAGATTCTTTGGAAGAATGTTCCAAGTTTTCTAGAAAAATTCTCCAAGCATCGGAGAGCAAGAAGACTGGTTTGAGTCCCCAAATGTTTACTAAAGCCCCAAATTGTAAACCCTATATGGATATGGATTATGCTCAGGCATCTAAGTCTTTACCCAAAGATTTTTGCAAGATCCATTGTACTCAAAATGGTTATATTTTCCCAAAGGGTGAGTCCACTATTCTTTTTGAGATTGGAGAGACCCCACCACAACATGAGTCCTTTGAGAACACTGTGTCTGTTTCATTGGACTCTTGCAGTCCTATTAGGAATCTGTCTGGTTTAACTGGTCCCAACTTTGATTCTGACCCTGAGAATCTTGCTTTGAAACACAAGTGCTCTCCTCCTCATTTTATTGGAGGAAGCCATGATAACACACAAGTTTTGCTACCGGCTGACTTAAATTCAAACCCTGTGGCTGCAGTATCTTCTAAGGAATTTTTTAAGTCTCTATCGGCCAGTGAGATTGAACTCTCTGAGGATTACACCTGTGTCATATCTCATGGTCCTAATCCTAAAACAACACATATTTTCTGCGACTGCATTTTGGAAACTCATGCAACTGATGTTGGAAAACATAACAAGAATGGAGAGGATGGAAAGGGATCATCTCTTTTCAGTGTTAACAGCATGCATATTCCAAACTATTTTCCATCTGAAGACTTCTTAAGTTTCTGTCACCATTGTAACAAGAAGTTGGAAGAGGGAAAAGACATTTACATCTATAGGTAGATTAACACTATTGCAACTATTGTGTTTTGAATTGAAGTTCTTCTGATGGACAGAATGACTTTAATATTGACTTCCTTTGATATCGTGCAGAGGTGAAAAAGCATTTTG